CATATTGCTTTTGCACGTACGGACTCTGGGCTAGGAATGTTAATCCCGGGATCTCGGGACTTTTTAAGGTCTCGAAAATCCCGGGATTCTTGGCAAGTAATGCTGGGATTTTCGGGATTTGTAATTTGCACTGATGGCAATAATAGGAACTTCTTTTCTTGACCAGTATTTAGGGACAAAACGATACTAGTAAATACAAGTACATACTCGATACTTTTCGTCCGATACCAAGCAATTTTTGTATCAATACTTTTGAACCGAGTACTGAGTAGGTATCGGAAGAAAGTACATGTATCGAAACCCGATTCAGTGACAATTTTATTCCCGAAATAGTTAAAAATTGTTGGCAGTTTAGTTGCTAACGAAAAGAAAGTCCTACAAAGAAAGACCCATTATCATCTAATCTACGTCCACTTTTTGTGAAAACTCATATTTGGCTATAGGAAGCAAGATAAATTAAAAAACGCAATGTCTCCAAAAGGATTAACTAACGTGCTTGTTTTATTTCTTCCCATTTATATTCAATTTAAGGCAAATTTACTAACTCCAAAAGAGGCACAGAAAATGTCATAAGCTCACAAAAAATTCTAAATCTTTTAATTTGCAACGGAACCTTTTGCAAAATTCTTGAAGGAAATGTTTAGAAAGGTTGTTTTTCTCTCCTGTAAAATTTCTAAAAATTTACTTAGCAACTTTTCACTCTAACTATATAACATAGCGACATGTGTCATATCATGCAAGTGCCAGTTCATATTATGTCGCTCATACATGTTTCACAATAACATATGAAGACACCGTCGAATAATTGAAATCAAATCATGCATAAAATCTATGCATGTCAACACAAACAACACATGCGACATAGTCAGCATTATTAATTACATTTTATATACGGGAAGAGATTTTGTATTGTATTTTCATCAAAGGCAGGATCAAACAGTATTAAAAATATGCTACAAAAGCACAACAGCGAACAACAGCTTAGCTAAGTATCAACGACATACTAAAACAGTATGTTTGAGATGGAATGACATGGCACAACACCTTGTTTGAGTTG